CGAAATTGCTGGAATGAAATTTTGCAAACCAGTTTTGGTACTGTTGTTCTGTCAACTTCTCCATACATGTCACACAATTTTTTTCTTGCTTAAACAGCATTCTTACCTTTTCAGTAATAAAAAAACAAAATATGCCAAAAATGCTGCTTTCACTTTTCCATATTTGATGGAACACAAAAAAAAAAACCAAAAACAATTGCAAAAAGTCAAACAAAATTTTTTACAAATAAGCCTTAAAATGTCAGCTGTCAAAATATATAATGACAATATAATGCAGAATGAAATTGGTGGGTAAAAATACAACTAATCCCTGATGGTAAAAAAACAAAATTACTTTCAAACAACCCAATACTTACAATTATGTTTGCTTCTAGTTATTACAAAATTAACTAAAATATTTTATTGTTTATCTATTCTGTTTTCTTCTGATTACTTTGTATGTTTTTGAGGAAAAAAATATTTTAGCATTTCTTGTTTTTTGTTTCATATATTTATTTTCTACTGGAAACATATTAAGAAATGATTTTTAAAATAAAAAAAAAAAAAAATATTTAGAATAGCTCACGGGAGTTCTGCATAAAAATTCGACCCATTAAAGACCTTAAAATATACGTAAAGCACCACCCAAACAGGTCTGTTTCTATAGCAGGATTTGACCATTAGTACACACACACACACACACACAAAAAAACAACTCAATGCTTCAAGACATTACGATCTCAACCCTTTACAAACATTACCATCAAAAATTAATTACAAATATAAATTTTTAATTAAGGCAAGAATATTTTAATTGATACCGGCAAATGTTCCGATTCCTCTATACTATAACAATGGCATTATTAAACGAGAGCGATTGCCCAACAATAAGTGAAGTAACCTCAAGACATTTTGATTCTCACCNTCCTCAAAAGTAAAGTGCAAATAAAACTACATTTTTTTTTATCAATTATTATTCTATTATGGTTATTTATATATTTACAACTACAAAACGCATTTTTCAGTGTTTTCCTTACTATAGTTTTTTTTTTTTTTATGTATTACTTAGCTTTATTTTGAGTGTTTTTTGTGTTGGAACAAATTATTTAGTTTTACAGTTAAGTTTTCCCCATACAATTAAGTACAACTTCAAACAAAAGACTTTATCTTTATTTTGCATCAATTTGCCGTTAGTTTTACCGTTTAGTTGTTACTGGACTTTGAATCAAATCGTATCTCATTTGCATTGTAACTGCCATTATGCACCCTGCCATGTAAGTAAAATATCAGTATACTTTTATATTTATGTTTTTAATTTTTTAATAAAGTAGATCAATATTTGCAAGTTTATCGAATAAATACATTAAATAACAATGTTGTAAGATTCTATAAATTTTAAATTTATATTAGTCTACAAGTGTTCCAATCAGCTTTCGCGAAATCTGTATTTTCTTAATGTCTTTAGGTCTCATAAACCTTTGAACCAGGAAGAGTTGGAAGGAGCTTTAGAACAAGTATTGAAAGAATTAATCGAAGAAAGTGAAGAGCCAGAAGAAATAGACTATCACAGTGAAAGTAAGACAGAAGAGGAAATTATAGAAGAAAATTTTCATGACAGCAATTCTGAACAATTGAGGAATGACATAGATAATATTGTCATAGAAGAAAATAGTGAACATGGGCAGATAGAAAAGACAATTATCGATTTTATATAGGAATTGTATGGGGAAACTGTAATTGTATGGAGAAAAATGATTCACCTTATGACATTTTTATGATATGATCTCAGTTTCGGAATGGATTAATTTCATATCCTGAGGTACCACTGTATTGGTGTATGTCAAATCATTGAAGAATTTCAAAAAGTGCAACACCACATAGTAAATAAATATTAATGTATTCTCTAAGCAAACCATTCCCTAAAAGAAAAAAAGCAGATATTCATCACAAAGCAAGACTTCAAAATATAGTTAATGATTGTAATAGTCAGTCAGCTTTATGGACTGCACCCATGCAATTGTCCATAATCTTTCCATGTAGTATGCTTTTTCATATGTTGCTTTCTTTACTTTCTTCCCACTAAAATTTTCCGCATTGATTTTTATAATTTGTAATTCTTGAATCTATTTTAGCTACTAAGTATTAATGTAATAATAGTGTGTATTATATACATAGTGCATACATATTGACTATTACCATTATTAAACATTTTATTATGTAAAAGGGTCTTTGAAGTGTTCTGTCAATTGTTTCCTCCAACTCTTCCAGTTTGGCCAAACTCGTTCAAAAAGAGACACTGTGTCTGGTGAGGGATTGTAATCTACTCTTGGTTTGCATTGTTCAAAATCCACATTATACAGTATACAGTACATTAGTAAAAAATCCTATATTAGCAACATATTGCATGTCTTGCACATTTTATAAGCATTTTTAGTTGTTTCTTATAAAATTGTAAAGAAAACATTTTGTAAAAATACTATTATAATATTTTGTTTTTTAAATTTTGCATCATTTTGCAAGCTTTCAGCATTGCAGTAAGAAGTTTAAAGCCATACCTTGATAAAAATTGAACATGGACATATAGTTCCTGCTAGCATTTTGCACATATAAAGATAGCCAATAAATTTCTTAAAGTTATTGGCTATCTTTAAGAGAAAGTAAATTGTTCTGATAAAGATAAATTATATATATTAATTATTGTATTAAATAGTAAAAGTATAATTATCCTATTACTTGAAAACATTTGAATTTAGTGTAAAAATCTTTCCAAAACTTTTTAAGGAAGTTAACCCTTTGGTAAACATGCCCACGGCAAATTGATGCAAAATAAAGATAAAGTCTTTTGTTTGAAGTTGTACTTAATTATTGCAGAAGTACATCATAGTACTTCTGCAATAATTCTCTTTCATATTACATGTTACAACATGTTTATAAAATCGGGTCAGTTATACTAACCGTTTAGTTGTTACTGGACTTTGAATCAAATCGTATCTCATTTGCATTGTAACTGCCATTATGCACCCTGCCATGTAAGTAAAATATCAGTATACTTTTATATTTATGTTTTTAATTTTTTAATAAAGTAGATCAATATTTGCAAGTTTATCGAATAAATACATTAAATAACAATGTTGTAAGATTCTATAAATTTTAAATTTATATTAGTCTACAAGTGTTCCAATCAGCTTTCGCAAAATCTGTATTTTCTTAATGTCTTTAGGTCTCATAAACCTTTGAACCAGGAAGAGTTGGAAGGAGCTTTAGAACAAGTATTGAAAGAATTAATCGAAGAAAGTGAAGAGCCAGAAGAAATAGACTATCACAGTGAAAGTAAGACAGAAGAGGAAATTATAGAAGAAAATTTTCATGACAGCAATTCTGAACAATTGAGGAATGACATAGATAATATTGTCATAGAAGAAAATAGTGAACATGGGCAGATAGAAAAGACAATTATCGATTTTATATAGGAAAAGATAAGAAAACTTTGTGGATCAGTAAATCTCTATAGTCAGTAAGACAAAAGCAAAAACTATATGAAATATTGCCAGGACCAAAATCTACCACCAAAAGTACAAATAAAGAAATAGACACATTTCACTTGTTTATTACTGATCAAATAATTGAAGGTATCATAACAAATACTAACAGATATATTCAGAAAAAAAGAGCTGATGTCAAGTATGCAAGAGATAGAGACTACAGAGATACAACCAAAACAGAAATAAAAGCCCTTTTTGGAGCATTGTATTTGATTGGTATAAAAAAAAAAAAATCACATTAATTGCTATGAGCTCTGGTATTCCAATGGTACAGGAATAATCCTTTTACAGGGCCTTTTCAGTTATAAACATTTTCAGTTTTTGCTTCATGCACTTAGATTTGAAAACTTATAAACCAGGGATGAACAAAAAATAACTGATATGCTTGCACCAATTTGAGACTTTCACCGAGAGTTTATCAACAAATGTATAGGCAGTTTCAATGTGAGTTTGTGACAATTGACGAGCTGCTTCATCCTTTTAGAGGATGCTGCGGATTTGTACAATACATTCCTAATAAGCCTGCAAAATACGGCATAAAAATATATGCTCTATGTGATGCTAAAACTTTTATACTCTTAATTTTGCAATTTATTGTGAAAAGTAAGTGCAAGGGCCCTATGATAGATCAAACAAGGCTGATAATATATTAAAAAGAGATGAGTCATGCCGATAGAAAAAATAAAAAAATGTCTTAGATCTTGGTTGCTTGCTGTTCTCTTTACTATATGTATTTTCTTAGCATAAGGTTGCCGTCGAGAACAAATCACACAAGAACACTAAGATTATAGTGATAGTTAGGATAACATGACTTGTGAGAAGACATAGGTGAAAAAAAGGGGGGGACCATCTATTCAGTGAACGATACAGGGAATACTCACATCTTTTTAACCTCTCCTATTTGGCCTGTTTTTTGTACATTTCATCAGAATTATTTCGCAGCCTACAGCATATGTTGTTATACTGTTATAATGTTATACAGTGTATAAGGGTCCCCCCTTTTTTCCACCTATGTTTTCTCACAAGTCGTGTTATCCTTTCACTAAAACCTCAGTGTTTCTGTGTGATTTGTTCTCAACAGCAACCTTATGCTAACAAAAATACATAAAAAAAAATGTTACTACAAACAATTACTACAGTAATTATCCTTTGGCCGTAGATTTACTGAATAAAGGTCTTACCTTTTTAGGAACAATGAAGAAAAACAAACAAGAAATACCTCCAGAATTTCTTCCAAACAAAACTAGACAAATAAATCCATGTCTATTTGGTTTTCAGTATGATTATTGTATTGCTTCAATAGTTCCAAAGAAAAATAAAGCTGTAATCTTTCTTTCGACCATGCATGACACTCCTGAAGTTGATCAGGAAACTAACAAGGCTATGATAAATTTGGACTATAAAAGGTGGTGTAGACACTGTAGATCAGATGTGTTCATCCTACACCACATCCCAAATTACAAGGAGATGGCCACTAACTCTCTTTTATCATCATTTCAACATTGCTGGAATAAATTCTAATATTATATTTAAATTTAATAATCCTGATAACAAAGACAGAAGATGACATTTTATAAAAAAAAACTTGCCTAAGTCTAATGGAAGAACATTTGAAAGAAAGATCTATGATGCTGACACTTCCTTAAAGACATTCGTGCATTTTTGGAAAAATATAAGGTAAATGAAGTCATCCAAAACAGCAAAAACCTGGAATTTGTTTTATTTGTGGCAAACACAAAAACAATAGGACAAAATCAGTTTGTCAGAAATGTGGTAGAAATGTTTGCAAAAAGCATAATAATATAGTGATTATATGTGCCATGTGTGAAGGTGAACATCATATGGAAGTAGAGTGACTTCTTTTTATTATCTAAATATTTTATAACCAATTTGTTCATTAAAATGTCATAAAATTAATTTTCTGGTAAATCTAATTCATATTTTAAAAACAATAATTAATTATTGACTTAAATCAAGTAATATTACATATGTGGTGTAATTGCCACAATGCGCCCTCTTGTGAACTCCTGAAAAGTGCATTCACTAAAGGGTTAAAGAAGTTTTAACATAAAACTTTTGAAATTTTATGTTTAAGCTTGAAGAGTTTTTTCTTTGGGTTAGAGTTAAGGAAAGGGTGTCTACTGTTTTTTTTTAGCTACTTAGGAGATAGTCTAGGTGAAATGTGACGAGTGGTAGTAGTTCCAGGGCAATTTGGAGTGTGGAAGGGCACTCCAAAAACATTTTTACTTTGAACCAGTACTATTACCTATTCTCTACACACTGTATTGGTCATGCACTTCAGCAAGCACCAAAGTGCACAGGTAAGGGCAAGTCCCCATACTCCAGCTATATAACATCAAATACTCCACAAACAGTAAAGTGGGTTACTTGAAGCCAGCATAGGCTAGTTGAAAACACAAACACTCACCTCATCACTTTCTCAGTGTATAAAACTTTAAAGTGGCAATAATTGCCTTTCTCCACCCCGACTCACTCCGGAACTACCATCACTCATCATATTTAATCTAATTACTCCCCTAAATAATTAAAAGAACAGTAGACATCCTTCATTACCTCTAACTTCCTTTCATTTTGAAGTTAAAGATATGTTAATTAAGAAATACTACCTACCATTCATTTTATCCAAGAATACAGGGCTGAATATTCTTCTTACGAAGTTAAGTGGATATCTTTGTAAGTAAATACAAGATAATAAAATCTCTATCAACATTTGTGGATTAAAATTTGAAAATTTAACTGAAAGGATATTCTCTACTGTTTCAAAAAACTGATAAGAATTATCTGGTAAGAAATTCAGCAATCCAAATATTCTAACTAAACTATATATATCCCTTGTACTTAAACTGTTAGAATTATTCACAAAGTAATTTTTCAAAGAATCTAAAATTATATTACTTTGCCATTGAAAATGAATACAATAATCAGCAACAACACACATTAATTCAGTTGACTGAATTTTTGATCCTTTAGCTTTCATAAATCTTTCTATTGCTTTTTGTAAATTTTTGTCATAATAATCTAAATTATTCATATAATAAATAATATCTTTCAAGTCTTCTTCCATCAGTATATGAATGTTTACGTTAGTCCAATAAGAAATCACCGTTAGAAGTTTTCTTAATTTTTGCTTAATATTACATTGAATTTTTAAAATCTGAGCTATCTGTTTTCCTGTTAAGTTTGTTAAACAATTTGTCGTTTGATGATACAAAAAATTTAGAAGTATCCTTTGTGATGTTTTGAAACATGGTAAAATATTATAGACTTTTAGGATATTGCCTTCATTTATTTCATTAGAACAGTCAATTATATTTTGCCATAATCTATCTATATTTAACTGTTCATTTCCAGCCTGTTTTAAAATTTCAATTAATTCACAAATTTCTTGTAATTTCATCTTTCTTTCTGTAACTCTAATTAAAAGTTCTTGCAATATAATTTGTGAATAATTTTCATTTTTCATGCCAGAATCAGCATTTATTATTGCTTGTAATCCAGAAAGAAGAATGTTAGGGTCTTCACTTTCACAAATTAATTCACATAATTTAGTCAGTACTGCCAGATGCGTGAAATTTTCTTGAGCGTTCTCCCGCATGGACGTTCGTATGTCGGGATACGTAGAAAATAAGTCAAATATCCTTTCCAGAAGAGTCAATGCCACAGACGGAGTCACTTCACTCGACGGTAGCATTTCCAAATACCTAAATATCTCTTCGGGCGAATTATAATTGCTGATGTTGAGTTTGATTATATTTTCCAGGTTTATACCTACAGACTGATAGGTTTTAGAATCGGGACTTACGTCTTGTTTTACTTTCACTTTTCCATCAATAACAACATAAACATCATTAGTTTTTTTAATGATGACAGGGAGCTCTTCAATATAAATTCCATCTTGAACAAAAATGCTGCTACTTCCCAATCCACCTTTATCTTGAGACGAAGTGGATTTTAAGGCTAAAGTCCTATCTGATCGTTTGTTCAATATATAACTGATTGCGAAGCAATTCCTACATAACACGTGATTTTTCCACAAATTTTCAAACTTCCTGCCTTGTCTTATCGCATTAGATACTGCGCAATAAACAATCCTTTCAACCATTTTCAACA